TTCTAAACTTGAATACTTCTTGTTTAAAAAATCTGGAAAGTCCCATTGCCTTGAGACTTTCCCTTAAATTATCCAGGGATGGGAAGATGAGATCCTAAAAGATTTAAAAGAGAATAATTTATACTGTATAAGCATCTTGGGCTACTACACCAGGAGATCTCAACCTTTATTTTACAATATGGACCACATCTTAATCAAGAGATTGGCTCAAGAACACCTGCCCTACCATTCATGATCACTTGAAATCTCTACAGCAACTACAGCAATTATTCACATGGAAAAGTATCATTAGGACAGTGTTCAATGTTTTTAATGTGATTTAGTGACTGGAATTAGGAGGAGGGCCAGCATCGTGTGACCAGCCAGCTCTCCATAGTTTGAGTTTGAGAGCCACTCTTCTGCACTTCTTAATATATTTGTTTTGGGATGTACATTTTCAGATAAGAAGCCAGGAACTATACACACGATACACACTGGCTGAAATTTTCAAAGCTGACTGGAGGATTTAGTCACACAAGTCCCATTAGTTTTAACAAGAGTTGTATAATTAAATTCAGTAGTCCACTTTGAAAATCTCAACTACTATAACACACACACACACACACACACACACACACACACACTTTTTATAGCCATACCGTGCTCTGTGTAGCCTAGTCTGTAATCTGAGGACCTATATTCCACCACAGTATTCTTGTCTGAACAGCATGTACTACTATCTTCTAAGGATTATATGTGAGGGAGGAAGAGATTTGTGGATTCCAAATGCATGGAATATGTCTTTTGGGCAAGTGTTTTGTTTCTGTTATAGGGGGACCTAAATGGGATTTAAAACTGTCCTAAAAGGGGATCTGGAGATTTCTCTGTCAGCAGACAATCTCCTGATAGCATAAAGCAGGTGTAGTCAGCTCAGTTGCTACCTGCTTTCCCCCACTCTGTGCAGAGGGTGTTCCAAGGTGAGTTAGAGTCATGAGGGTATTTGGCCAGAGTGTGCTATGCTACAGCAACCCCCAAATGCCAGAATGGCCCCTATGGGACCATTCCAATCAATGGAAGTTACTTGTACCTGCTCTAACTTGTGCTGGGGGCCAGTTACACCCATTTTCCTGCTGCACTGACAATAAGCTTGGTGCAGCTAACGAACATATCCATTATATTTAAAGAAACAGAAAACAGAAAATTCTAAGTTAAATATCATCAAAATACTTCAGTATATGAGCTATATATTGAAATATTCCTGTGTAAGTGATGATTAGTCCAGCAGATGTCTACCAAAGTTTAGGACAAACTTGAAGAGTGGGTAGGCCAAAGCAACAAATATGATCATAATACATGCATTCTGAATTTATGTTTGAATCTGTTTTCAATTAAAGGATCATTTTATGTTGAAAATGTACATATTTTGTCATAAAGTCCCAGCTGATGGCCTAGAATAAACATAATACTCATAACTGAAGCCTACATTTGAGCTGCTACTGATCATGTATAACTTATGTTGAAGGAAAATATAACAGAGGCAACTTGTTCATTAGGGCAAATTGAAACCCATTTCTCCTAAATTCTCTTCCTTTTATCTCATGAGAAACCCACGTCTTCACAATGACTCGCATGCTACCAGTTGTGTGCAAATATCTCAGGGACAGAATATATTATAGACCTGGGTTTCTGTAGTTATCTCATTTCAAGTAAACTATCATCAGTACTATGGACTAGGGATGAAATTCATCCCTTTGCAGAGGGCCAGCACAAGAGCTGTTCACTACATAAGTATCACTTGAGCCCTATTTTGAAGGCTTAAATGGTGCAAAGAACCCGTGTAGGCCAATAGCAGATGGATGTATTTCATTCTAGATGAACAACAATAAAATCATTGAGAAGAATGTATGTGGAGACTTCACCTGTAAATTACTATATCGGTACATTTTTCTATGCCCATATTTTCATATAAATTTTTGTATTTGCCTCTCACACTCCCTTTATTCTGTGCATTTTCAACAAACACTTTTGGTTACTGAATGGTGTTCACTGAGAGCTAGATTTTTAAGAATAGCCTAGTAAATCAGTTTGAATGCTAACTGCGTACACTAAGAGCAGCTAATTTTCATCTGGAGAAACAGTCATCCATTTTAGTGGAAGCTGCTGGTAACATTGTGCATACATTTGTAGCCTGCACAGAAATGTACACATTTGAAAAGACAACACCAGCATATTAAAAAACCTCAAACCTCATTGCATTTCTTTTGTATGTTGAAACAGTGGAATGGGCATCATGTTCGAGCAAGAGTAAAAATGCAGTTTCTAAAGCTGGGGAAATGTAAGTTTGATCAAGGTCATTATTAAGAAAGAGTTATGTAGCACAACAACAATAAAAACCATCCATAGAAACCCACAAACTCTAGGAGATGATGATTAGGTTGTTTTTTTTTCTTAAATAAATGTCCTCACCAAAAGAATCCTCTGTCACTCCTTCCCTGGTTACTTAAACTCTTGTTTTTATAAAAATAGATTTAATTAATAAATGTTTTAATATTGTTATTATATTTGTTCTATTGAAAATATATTTTCAAAAGTGTGATAAATCTGGAAACTAATTTCCATGAGACATATCCAGATTAATGTATATGTAACAAGCAGCTTTGCATCCACACTTCCAAAAATAAACAAACATACATATGAGCGCAAGAACACACCCACATGGTTTGGATTAATTTTGAGTAATTTTTTAGTACCTCTTAACAAGTACTTGACTCCTGTTCCTCATTACATATTTAAAAAGCTGCTTGCAAAGATCTCTTCCCCAAATGGCACCTTGATGGAGATGGAAGCAATGACAGGCAAAAGGGAAAGCAAAACAGTAAACAAAAATCAACTTTTAGATTTGAATCTGAAGTTCTTATTTTTTAAAAAAGTCTTACAACATGGAAAAAATGGTATGCTTTTTGTTCCATAAGAGAACCCTTCTTAACAAAAAATAAAATGTGGAATTTGGGCAGAAATTTACGGGAGAGCGCTTCACAGAGAAGAACTAAAGCTAGTTTGTTCTATTAAGGGCCCTTGATCCTGGAAACACTCTCACACATGTTGTCCTGTTCAGTTCATTGGGACTTCTCATGTGCACAAATTTACTCTTGTATGTGTTTGTGGGACTGGGGTCTAAGTTCTTGAAACATATTCAGCAAATTAGCATTCAAGGATACTAGTGAATCTATAGCTTTAGGAAATCTATTCCTCTGTTAGAACTTTAGAAAAACAAAACCAAAAAATGCACTTGATTCACCACTATTACTTTGTTGAAATCAGTGAAGTCACACCAGCATAAAAATGGAGTAACAGCAGTGAATCAGACCCAGTGTGTCTTACTCTGTGAAACTGGTTAGAAGGATAAACCTTTCTCAATCTTCTCCTGCTCTTCCTTCTCTGCCTTCCATATATAACAGCAGCTTTTTCCCAGTGTCAAGAAGTATGCTTTTTAAGCTGCAAATTAAGCAATAAATAGCATGATGATTACTTAGTCTGGTTAACTCATTTTGTAATACACATTCATTTTTCTGATCATCCCAAATGCTCTTTTTAACTGAAAATTAATAATGCTCAAGTATATTGTAGCGCCACATAACTTTAAAAATGGTATACAAATTAACACAAACATCTGCACCCAGTTTACATGTGACATGCATGTAAAAATGTGCGTGGCTTTCAGAGCATGCAGACATGCGCCCATTTCATAGTTCACAGTAGCGCATATCTCATGCAAGTTTTGAAAATGTAGTCCAGTATATCTATGTAAGTCATCTGAATAGAGCATGAAAGCTTTAAGTCTTATAGAGGTACAAATATTGTGTTTGGCCTTTGCATCCATTTTCTTGCATGTAAATATGGCTATTAAAGAGTTCTAGTTTTAAAGAGAATTATCTGAGATGTCAGTTAGACGTTTGTACTAAATGAAGACCAGCTAGTTAATAACTAGAACTCCATTTCATCATAGTCTGCTTTTTACTTCTAACAGGAAACATATAAAAGTAGATTCAAGGCAACATATTATTACACTGCTGTCCGAGGCCTTTCTCTCTGCCTCCATATAATGTAGTAACTAATGCCGCACTCTTACATAGCGTAACTCACAGTAGTGATTAGTTTGTTTGTGTTCCACTGATCTCTTGTGGATGGTATGGCAGAACTGCTCAAGTATGAGGATCTCATCATCCCGCTAATGGCTGGCCCACAGAAGTTATATAAGCCCTAAAACTACTAACCTAATGGAGATTCTCCATTAGCTGCAGTGGTAGAGGCTTTGGCGCAGAAAGCTCTGTAAAGTCTATGTGACTGCAGTGTGCAGTATAGCTGACAACCGAATATTCTGTGTGGCTTGAGAATTGTTACAACAGCCTTTCCAAGGGTTACTCACCATGTGGTAGAGGCAGATATTTAGTATAAAAAAAGGACAAAAAATGGTGAAAAATTCTAATGAACCAATTTTGCAACCAGCTCTATAAAGGATAAAATAATGTCAGATGCTTATACAAATAAATTTAAGCCCAGGGCTCAGGAAGATTTAAAGTTCAGTTCTTTCTAATCCGCACCCCAGTTAGTCACACATAACGAGAATTCACTACATGAAATCACTGGTCATTTCTGCAAAGAATTCTAACATTTTCAGGCACCAGCTTACCAGCATTTAAACTATTACAAAGTTAAGGTAACAATATGACCCATACATTTGGATTTAGTTAAGAGATAAAATAAATATTTATGTCAAACTTTTTTTTCTGATTGCACATTTGATATTGGAAGCTACATGATCACAAAACATGAAAAAAGTCAATTACTTTTTGATCTACCATCAAACTCTAAATACATCAATAAGGAAGCCACACCAGGCCAAATAGGCTATTACTTTCAAAGAAGTCCATGAAAGTTTCCCAAATACTGTTATACAAAGTTACACATCCATGCTGAGTTATTCACCAGTGTGTAGCAACAGTTTTGCAGTGCGCCAGGATTGTATTGGCAGGTAACTGACAGAGGAACTATGCAGTGTGATTAAAAATTCCACATTGGAAGCATTAACATAAAAGTACGTGTTTATAGTCTGAACGGGAGACTGCAGTTCTTGAAGTTAGGAGGAACATAAGGGAGGAATGAGAATATCTTCCATTTTAGAAATGCTGAGGCACAAAACAAAGTTGCTTCTAGTACTTTCATACATGAAATCCTTTCTCCTGTATGTGCATCATGTGTAATCGCAAAGTCTGTAAACTGCTCACTATTCGTCTCTGGTGTCCAATGAGTACAACTCCAATTCTCCTAATGTCACTGTAAGATAAAGAAAGGTTAAAATTCATCTTGGATGCATGTACAGCCACACAGAAAGAATTCTGATTGCTTCCACATATTGTTCAGCACCTAATGTAGTTCTTAATCAGAACTATTCAATGTCTTGATTTGAATATGCAAAAATGCCCTAAATTTGCAGGCATTCAAAGGTGCACCCACCTATTCTTTATTTGTATAGGCAGCCATTTAGAAAAAAAATCACACCTCATAGCTAGGACATAGCTTTTTTGCTGTATCCTTAAAGGTCAAAATCCTTCTCCCAGCCCCTAGATACAAGCCTGAGAAGCAAGCAGAGAAAAGGGAGCTCCACAGGGTGGGAGGAGGGAAGCAATCCTTCCCACCCATGCTGCAGAGGCAAGCAGAACCACTTCATGTTCACTATTGCAGCTGCTGCAGCACTTCTGCTGCTTGCGGGAGGGAAAGGGATAAGACCAACAATTTGTAGATCTGCCCATGCTTATCTCCCAGTCCACCTTTGCCTCACCTACTTCTACAACAGGCTGATGCAAAGGAAACACTATGAAGCATACAGCTCCTTCACTGTAGAACCTCCCAACAATTTAACTGCATTGAGTACCGTCTGTGGATGAGGAGGGCAGTATTTGACCCTTTAATAACAAATGGAAAGAGCTAGTGGATGCTAATGATTAAAAACTGCAATAAAGTTAATTATGATCTGGTGACAAATCTTCACACGATAAAACCCCCACACAATAGACAAGCTCTGAATTGGCTGAACCAAATATTAAACATTAGGACAAAAGAGTAATTTATGTGGCTCACGCCAATCCTCTGAGGCAAGAACAGCATTTTTTTTTAAAATATGAAGTACAATACAACTTTCAGAAAACCAGTATTATCAAATTTAGTATTATATAGCTCCCTTCACATTCAAAATGTGCCACAATGTATGGTAAAATGTCAAATTAGATACCAATAGCAACAGTCATCATTATTCACTGCTCCTGCTCCCATTGAAATCAATAACAAAACTTCAATGGAGCAGGATCAAGAACTGAGTTCCAATAGTGTGCTTGGGACTGCACACAACACAGAAAAGATATGATTAGTGTACACAACCTGGACCTGATCTTGTTTACAGCAAAGTACATTTTACCATTGGTTCAGTGGGAGCAGTTCAAGCCCCCGAGCCAACAACACACTTATGCATACAAATAGTCCCACTGATTTCATGTGGTTACACAAAAAGTATGCGGCATAGTGAGGAATTGAAACCAGGTCTACTGAGTCTCTTAATCACCACATCATCTTTCCTTGCCATATTTTGGTTGAAAGTCTATTTTTCCTTTTATTAACTGTACTAGCAAAGTGAAAATATACTTTTGTTCCATACATCTTAGGACTTAGGCTCTATCACTGTTAATCTAAGCAATTGCAGTTTACCCACTGTACTGATAATAGTTTACATACTTACTCAATACTCATTCTTGAAACCACATCCAAAGTTGTGAAACCCGCTGCCATGAAGTTATTTTTATACTGACCCATTTTTATTGAATCTAGCCAATCAATGACTGAAACAAACAAAGGATATTCGGGAACTTCACCAGGTGAATCTGGCATTCTACAAAAACAAAATGTAAAAGCTTGTAAAGAAGTAATAAGTATAAAAAATAAAGCCTTGTTTACTTTTGTAGAGATATTTTTGTACTAAAAAGTTGACTAGACTAGGGCTATGTCTACACTACAGCCTATGTTGGCAAAACTTAAGTCGTTCACTGGTGTAAATATTCCACCCCCTGAGCGACATAAGTTACACCAACATAAACGTTCGTGTGCACAGCACTATATCAGCGGGAGAGCTTCTCCCGCTGATATAGCTTATGCCGCTTGTGGAGGTGTTTTTTTTATGCCGATGGAAGAGCTCTCTCCTGTCAGCATAGAGCGTCTTCACCAGATGTGCGGCAGCAGCGCAGCTGTACCAATACAGCTGCGCTGCTGCAGCACTGTAAATATAGACATAACCTGAGGCCTGGTCTACACTACGACTTTAATTCGGATTTAGCTGCGTTAATCCGAATTAATCCTTAACCCGTCCACACAACGGAGCCAGTTACTTCGAATTAAAGGGCGCTTAAAATCGATTTTTGTACTCCACCCCGACGAGCGGAGTAGCACCAAAATCGATTTTGTAAATTCGAATTAGGGGTAGTGTGGCCGCACACCACCGAATTAATGTGGTTAAAATTAATGGGGTAGTGTGGCCGCACACCACCGAATTAATGTGGTTAAAAACCGAATTAATGTGCTTAGTGTGGCCGCGCACAATCGAATTTATACAATCTGTTTCCCAAATTCGAATTATCTAAATTCGAATTAATCTCATAGTGTAGACGTACCCTAAGTCTATCAACACTAGAAAGAAATAAGAGATGAGCTCATGCTGCAAAGTTCAGATCCTGAACTGAAGTTCTCCGAAGTTTCAGATCTAGCACTTTGATTCTGGCCCATTCTCTAAAATTTGGCAGTTATATTTTAGCATCCAAAATTTCTTTTTAATCTACTATTAAGGAAACCATTGGAACTTCACAAGAGTTTTATATGCACAAGAAGCTCAGAACTGGACCTATCCACATTATTATAATTTTCAATAGAGTATATCTCTGCAGAAAAAGAGGTTACTTACTTTTACAGTAACTGATGTTCTTTGAGATGTGTAGTCTGACATATTCCACAGTGGGTGAGTGCAAATCCCATGTGCATGCATATGACAATTTTCTAGTCAGCAGTACTCACTGTGGTAGTGCATGTGCCCTTCTTCTTCTTGTTTGCTCCACAAAGCCACCCTGCCACATCCCAGGAGGCTGGGAATCAGGGGAAGAGTGATTGGCAGGGCTATGGAGAGGTTGCAGAAGTCCAGTATCTGTCTCAGCCAGGCTGGGGCTATGAGGATTGCCTTCTCCCACTTTCCAAAGTACCCTGGGGAGCAGGGGAAAGGGAAGGAACACATAGAACAGTCCCTCTGTCTGTGGGAGGAGAAAGGCCTCTGAAAGAGACCCTGGATTTCTGTTCCTCTTCCCCTGTGCAGAAGTGGTGACATTTTTTCTCCCTCTTTGCAAAAAGATCTGAGTGAGAGACCCTGCATTGTTGGAAGATGTCCTGGAGGACCCACCCTCTAGTGCTCCCACCACTCATGATTGTCACAGAAGTGCCTGCTGAGGCCGTCTGCCTTCACATTGTCCACTCCTAGGAGATGGACCGCTGACAGGGAGATGCTATGTCCTATTGCAGAGTCACTTGGATGGCCTCCTGGCACAGAGCCTGACAGCATGGTAATTTTATGTGGCTTTGAAGTTGTTGCACGGGAGGGAGATCTCTGTCTCTCCTCCTTCCAAAGCTCGCCCTCCGAGTTCAACCTATCGCTGTACCTTTTAGAGAAGTTGATGCTAGGGCCAATTTCAATGATGGATGCCCCCCGCAGACCTAGATGCCTGGAATCCAGGGCGAGAGTCTGGCCTTATCGCCTGCTTCATGAGGAAAACTCTCTGTTGTGCCTCCCTGGAGTGCTAGGTCTGCTTCGAGAAGTACCTGCAGATTTCACAGCATTCTAGTGCGTGCCCCTTGCCAAGGCAAAACTGACACCTTATTTATCTGTCATTCAGCAGCATAACCGCCTCTCAGGACAAGCAGTTCTTGAAGCCGAGGTACTTGCCATGGTTGGCCATGGTGCTTGTACTACCTGCAACCGTGGAGAAGGGTCCCTATTCCTGCTGTGTTCACCTGCACCTATCTGACTAAAATAACAAGGCTAACTAACTAGAAGCCAAATTGGAGGAAAATCTGAAGAGAGTTGCTCCAAAATGTACCCGTCGGTGGTAGAGAAGGAACTAGGTGTGGCTTGGTAGTATCACCCTTTGCACCCTCACAGAATGCATGAAGAAATGAAAGGTGCATGTGCCACCCCAGTGGGTACTTTTGACTAGAAAATTCTCCAATGCCTGCACACCAGCCCAACACGCCCCAGCTGTGGAATATGCATATGGACTAGCACTTGAAGAAGAATTTAAACTCTTGGGATGAAGATAATGACATAATTTTGAAACCCACCAAAGCAAAGCAGAGGGTATAAAAGCAGATTTAACCTTGGCTATTATGGGAAAATTGCACAGTTTGAATGAAAAAGTATTAATACCATGCTGGGTAATAACTTTTGCCTTTATCTACATAGAAAATAGATGAAAAAGGGAATGGCTGTTTATTGCCACATTATTAGACAATGGTTGCAGCAGCTGGAGTACTAACCTAAAGAGCAAATAAGAATTACATTTTATACTCTGATTTTCATGGGATTTTATGTATGGTAATAAACAAAAATAAAAGGGTCCAGCTAATTCAATCACACTTCTGTCTCAATATTTTTTAACCTACTATTGTTTCAAGTAAAATTTAAGAGATTAGAGAAAACAACATTCTCTGTTGGGTTGTTTCCCTGTTATTTCCTTTGGGCTTTAACCCACGGGGTGGAGAGTGCTCTCAGCTCCCAGTGACTTTATGCATTTGGCAGCACATTGTGTAGAATTGCTTTGTAAATTATTTTGTCTGTTATTTTCACCAGCCTGTGTGGTTCTTTCACAGAGCACATGAGGTGGGAAGGGGGCAGGGAAATATTTTATAAAATATGAAAAAAATAGAGTAAAACCACAAAAATGGGCAGGGAGACTGAAGGACAGGTGCAATATCTGAAACTATTTTAAAACAAACCTTTTAAAATTGACTAGATCACAAGTTGAATAGCAGAATTTTTGAAGAATCAGTATTTTGTAATTCAAAAAATCACTTTGAAAGTATATTTTCTAAAAGAAGCACATGATAGTTTATAAGTGTTTTGGAGTACCTTTTAAAAGAAAGATATATTCTAATTTCAGTGGGGCAACTTACAGGGGAAAATACCACTCCAAACCTAGCCTTAGCAAGACACCACTAATCGTTCCAAACTCTGACTCTAGTGTGGGGAAACAAACCAACTCCAACTATCACACAAATCTGGGGTGGCCAGACACAGGGCCGGCTCTGGCTTTTTTGCCGCCCCAGGCAAAAAAGCCTCCCGCCGCCCCCCGCCCCTTGGTGGGGAGCGCGGCAGGGGAGGGCGCCGAGCCTGGCCGCGGCCCCGCTCTCCCCGGCTGGCCGGAGCGCCGCGGGGAGGGTGGCGAGCCGGCTGGGGCCCCGCTCTCCCCGACCGGCCGGAGCGCTGGGAGGAGGGCGGAGAGTCCGGCCGCGGCCCCGCTCTCCCTGGCCGGCCGGAGCGCTGGGGGGAGGGCGGCGAGCCCGGCCGTGGCCCCGTTCTCCCTGGCCGGCTGGAGCGCCGGGGGAGGGCGGCGAGCCTGCCGCAGCTCCGCTCTCCCCGGTGGCCGGAGTGCCGGGGGGAGGGCGGCCCCGCTCTCCCCGGCTGGCCGGAGCGCCAGGGGAGGGCGGCGAGCCCGCCGCGGCCCCGCTCTCCCCTGGTGAGTGCCGCCTCCCTCCAGGTGCCGCCCCAAGCACATGTTTGGAGGGCTGGTGCCTGGAGCCGGCCCTGGCCAGACAGCCACAGCTCTAAACCTAGTCTGGGTTTACCTAACAGCCTTTCCCCTCAAGCTTATCTGTGGCAAACCACCAGCCCCAATCTTATCCCTAGCTACCAGCCTCTCCACACTCTGGTGCAGGTCCCCATGGCCTCCCCAAGGGGAAGTATTAAGTATGAAGTATTAAGATGCTCAGAGGGCCCTTCACACTGGAGTGAATTTTGCCCTTAATGAATAAGAGTGGGGCCAAATTCATCCCTGATATGAATTCACTGATTTCAGTTTACACCTAGGATGACTTTGGCTCACTGTGATTACAAAGTGGCCAGTCATTTCTTCAACAGCTCTACACCTAAAACCTGCTTTATTCATGTGCATAATATTACTTTGGGAATAGGGAGGAAGCTTTGGGTAGCACCTCCAGGAATTTGTTGTGGAATGAGAGTGCCATAGATTTGCTGTATTAATATCCCTCTTCCAGTAAGGGGAGCATGACTTAGCAAGTATGGAGTATAAATAGATTCAGAAGGAAAATACTCTAAGGCAGTTTACCAACTGTTCATGCACTCTGTGCTATTTCAAATGAAGAGACAGAGCATTAAAGAGAGAAGAAAATTAAAGAGGGAACTTGGAAAACAAGAGTATAGGACAAACACCAAACAAAAGGTGGAAAAACAGAGAGGAGACTCATGAAGATCAAAGACGGACAGAGAACGAACAAAAGAGATAGATGAAAATTCTGGACCAAAAAAGATAAATGGCTATCAATGTGCTTGAGAAAAAAAAGTCCTTTTGTTTGCAATTTCACCAGTTTCATTTGATAATAAAATACACTTTATAAGAGGCTCAGAATGATTTTAAACACACAGCACTTAACAGCTAAGAGCTAGCTGAGCTCAGAGTTGTGTCAAGATATCCCGTCCCTACATAATCCACTATGTTATCTGATGGCAGCCATGATTGTATGAGGAAAGAGCACTGAAGTGAGTCTTACACAAGTACATCCTCCACTAGGGTATGAAGGGAGCTGGGGTTGCGGATCAATTTGTCTAGGAAGCTGACAATGTCAGTAAACTTCGGCCGGTGGTTTCTCTCTTTTTGCCAGCAGTGAAGCATAAGTTGGTGGAGAGAAGCTGGGCAGCCCATAGGAGCCGGAAGCCTGTAACCTTCTTCTATAGACAGTATAACCTAAACAAAGATAATAGGGGTGATTACACAGCATCATATTAACACACATAAGGACAATATCAAACTAGGAATGCAGACCAATGATAAATGAAGACTAAGACACCCTCATGGTCTAGCATTGTATGCAGCTCTGAGATCCTCACATGCAGATGGGGTGAAGGCCAAGATTTTGACTAGTGTTCTTTACACTACACTTTCAGTCTCAGACAGAGCCAGCAAAGCATTAGTCACAAAGCATTAGTCACAAAAGTGTGTCTCATTCTATTATTTTAAACTATTTCTACTATTTATTCTATTATTATTAACCTTTCTATTAAACGACTGTGAAGGAGGAGAAGAGGAGAGAAATAAGAAACATCCTTTTTCTCTTCAGCAACCTGAAGTCAGGAAGCCAACAAAATAATCCCATATGAATGTGCTCTGATATTTGCATTGTGACACTGCATTAATACATGCCAATGTCATGCTGTAATGAGATTGTCACAGTGCAAATACCACAGTGCAATGTCTGGCCCCCAGTAACTTCATTTGATGACAAAGTGGTTCTCCTGCTCTTCGGGAATTTGCCACAGAGATCTTCCAATCTGTAGCTTCTTCCACTTCCTACATGCTTGGGTGTAATGTGCATGGATAGATCAGAGACTAATGGGGGAGCTGGCTGTGCTGCCTGGGGTATGAACCAGGAGAGTGTGTGCAGAGGGATAAACGTGTTACAAGTGTCCTGGAAATTGCAGATTTTGGCCTCAGATTTCTTGCAGGTCCTCAGGTTCCATGTGAGTAGGAGTCCCTGCCCCCCTCATTCATGCTGCTATCCTTCCTCTCAATGGGATAAACACTAGATCATTTCCAGGAGTTAGCCCAAATGGAAATCTTCTTGAAATTTCCGCCTTCCATGCTTATTTTCAGGAGAAAAAGCTCTGTCCATAGAGGAGAAAATGTCAGCAACTGAAATTACCACAATAGTGGATTATTTATGTCTTCCGCAGCAACAGAGTCATCAGAATCCTTTCATTCTGCGCAATAAACATGTATTTTTCCACGACAACCATTTCATTATCAAACACAGTTTTCTCATGAGGTAATATGGCCAACCCAAACTCAGGCTGATAAAGCCTTTTTACCACACTCCTCACCCTCTGTATCTATATACATATGTAGGTGTTCAAATCTCTCTGTATATAGAGACAGGCAGCTATAACACACACCACACATGTGGAATTGATAACTATTGATAACTGTAGGAAGGAAAGGAAACTACTAAGTGGATAGAAGAACAAAGAAAGAAGCTCTGTGAGTAAGTTTTTCATAAAGGAGGTCTTGCTGGCATGGGAAGCCCCATTGTCAGGTCCTTTATAAAGAGGGAGAATCCTGCCAGAGGAAGGATACAGCCACACAAAATGTTTCCTAGGAGGCCAGTTGACTTTATGCCAGTCTTGGATGTCACCCAACCCAAAAGTTTAACAAGAAATGTTAAGTATCATCTAATGCAATGAATCAAAAATGATTGCAATTGCATGGCTTCTATTCTAAAAAGCAGGAAGAAATAGAGGTCTATCAGAAGTAGCTACAGAAAAAGACGGTTACTCACCGTTGTAACTGTTGTTCTTCGAGATGTGTTGCTCATATCCATTCCGGTTAGGTGTGTGCGCGCGCCGCGTGCACGATCGTCGGAAGATTTTTACCCTAGCAACCCCCGGTGGGTCAGCTGTGGAGCCCCCTGGAGTGGCGCCTTCATGGCGCTGGATATATACCCCAGCCGACCCAGCGCCCCCTCAGTTCCTTCTTGCCGGTTACTCCGACAGTGGGGAAGGGGGGCGGGTTTGGAATGGATATGAGCAACACATCTCGAAGAACAACAGTTACAACGGTGAGTAACTGTCTTTTCTTCTTCGAGTGCTTGCTCATATCCATTCCAGTTAGGTGACTCCCAAGCCCCACCTAGGAGGAGGGGTCGGAGTGAGATATTGCCGTGTGCAGAACCGCTGACCCGAATGCAGCATCGTCTCTGGATTGTTGCACCAGTGCATAGTGAGCAGCGAATGTGTGGACCGATGACCAAACTGCAGCTCTACAAATGTCCTGGATCGGGACTTGAGCCAGGAAGGCAGTCGAGGAGGCCTGGGCCCTCGTGGAGTGAGCGGTGAGGCATGGCGTCGGTACACCGGCCAGGTCGTAACAAGCATGAATACAGGACGTGATCCAAGAGGACAGGCACTGTGAAGAGACCGGTGAGCCTTTCATCCGGTCAGCCACCGCAACGAAGAGTTGCGTCGTCTTCCTAAATGGCTTTGTACGGTCGATATAGAAAGCCAGGGCCCTGCGTACGTCCAAAGAATGCAAACGCTGGTCTTGACGAGTAGCATGTGGTTTCGGATGGAAGACCGGGAGAAATATATCCTGGTTGACGTGGAAAGGTGACACCACCTTCGGAAGAAAGGCAGGGTGGGGGCGAAGCTGCACCTTGTCCTTGTGGAACACCATGTATGGGGGTTCGGACGTAAGCGCTCTGAGTTCAGAAACGCGCCGTGCTGAGGTGATGGCTACGAGGAAGGCTGTCTTCCAGGATAAGTACAGGAGTGAACAGGTCACCAATGGTTCAAACGGAGGCCCTGTGAGCCTGGAGAGAACGAGGTTGAGGTCCCACGTCGGAACCGGCTGTCGTTGCTGTGGGTACAGCCGGTCTAAGCCCTTGAGGAATCTAACGACCATCGGGTTAGAGAAGACCGAGGACGTGAGTTCTCCTGGGTGGAAAGCCGAAATAGCGGCGAGGTGAACCTTGATTGAAGATATCGCCAAGCCTTGCTGTCTTAGGGACAGGAGATATTCCAGTATAAGGGGGATAGGTGCCTGCGAGGGAGACGTAGCTCGTTGCTCACACCAACAGGAGAACCACTTCCACTTGGCTAGATAAGTGGTCCGCGTAGAGGGCTTTCTACTTCCCAGCAGAACCTGCTGGACGGCCTGCGCGCATTGCCGCTCTGTCCGACTCAACCATGAAGCATCCACGCCGTGAGGTGGAGCGACTGCAGGTCGGGGTGACACAGCCGGCCGTGGTCCTGGGAGATGAGGTCCCGACTCAAGGGGAGCGTGATCGGCGTTTGTACTGAAAGCTCCAGCAGTGTGGTGTACCAGTGCTGCCTCGGCCAAGCGGGAGCAACTAGAATTACCCGTGCATGGTCCCTGCGGATCTTGAGCAGCACCCTGTGGACCAGCGGAAATGGAGGAAAGGCGTAGAACAGGTGGTCCTTCCATGTTAGAAGGAAGGCGTCTGACCGAGAGCCTGGGGCTCGCCCGTGTAGGGAGCAGAATGCCTGGCACTTCCTGTTGGCCCGAGATGTGAAGAGGTCGACCTGGGGAAATCCCCACCTCTGGAAGACGGAATAGATGACGTCCGGACGAATTGACCACTCGTGCGTCTGGAAGGACCTGCTGAGACGGTCCGCCAGCGTGTTCTGGACTCCAGGAAGGAACGATGCCGTGAGATGTATGGAGTGGGCGATGCAGAAGTCCCACAGGCGAATGGCCTCTTGGCATAGGAGCGATGAGTGGGCTCCGCCTTGCTTGTTGATGTAAAACATGGCCGTGGTGTTGTCGGTGAGAACCAACACGCAACGGCCCTGTAGGAAGTTGACGAATGCCTGGCAAGCTAGGCGCACCGCCATCAGCTCTCGGACGTTGATGTGCAGGACTAGTTGGGACGTCGACCACAGGCCCTGGGTATGGTGCTCCCCGAGGTGAGCGCCCCATCCTAGAGATGAAGCGTCCGTGACTACCTCGACGAGGGAGGGTTGTGGGGCGTGAAAGGGCACTCCTGCACAGACCGCCGTGCGATCCGTCCACCAGGTGAGGGAGGCCAAGACCGAGGACGGAACCGTGACCACCATGTTCAGGTCGTCCTGGTGAGGACGGTATACCGATGACACCCAAGCCTGCAGTGGGTGAAGCCGTAGCCTGGCGTGCCTGGTTACGTAAGTGCACGAGGCCATGTGGCCCAGGAGGGCAAGGCATGTCCTTATGGTGGTAATCGGAAAAGCTCCGAGTCCTTGAATGACGCTTGAGATGGTATGAAACCGGCTGTCTGGCAGGATGGCTCGGGCACGTCTGGAGTCCAGGATTGCTCCAATGAACTCTATTCTCTGAGTTGGTACTAGAGTGGACTTCTCTCTGTTGAGTAGAATGCCCAGCTCGTGGAAAGTGTGTGTCACTAAGTGGACATGAGACTGAACTTGGTCCCTGGTGCGGCCGCGTACCAGCCAGTCGTCCAAGTACGGGAACACCTGTACCCCTTGTCGACGACCTCAACGACCTCGTACCGGTGCTGGGAGCTCCGCCTCGAACCCGATCGGTGCCAGTCGTCGCGACGGTGCCGAGATGTGGAACGGCGTCGCGAAGATGATCTCGGCCGCGAGTACGACCGGCGCCGAGGTGATATTCGGCACCGGGACTCCGAGCGGCGTCGGTACCTGCTGCGGGACCTGGAGCGGTGCCGAGAGTCCGGAGCTGGAGACGGTGGGCGCACCAGGGCAGGCTTGCCCCTGGACTGCACTGCGCGTGGAGGTACCGGTGCCGGAAGTTGCGACGGCCCCGGCTCCGTGAAGGCGATCAGGTCCCGCGCCGTTGCAAATGTCTCAGGGGTGGAAGGGAGACAAGGTTCCACCACCAGCCTAGGTGGTGAAACAGTCCGCACCGGACTCGACGGCCTCGGTGCCGGACTCGACGGTGTGGCCGCCTGCTTCTGGCGGTCCAACGGCGGACGTGGCTCTACCCCCGGCACCGAGGGAGCCGGCGTCTTCAGCGCGGCCATGTCCTGAGCCTTGCGGGCCTTCTTATGGCCCGGAGAGAGGGATCGGCGCCGAGTCCCCTGAGGCGGGCGCGGTGCCGACGTCGGCCGGTGCCGAGATGGTTTGTCCGCCGCACCTGTCGGAGCCGCCGGGGCGCTGCGCACCGAGGCGCTCGGTGCCGGGGCTGGGCGCGCCGAGGGAGGATCCGGGCTAAGTGCC